TAAACCTTTTGTGGTCAGAGAGAGGGGATTTGCAGTTTGCGGCGAGTCCGTGCCCCGTTTTTCAGAGAGGCAGGCAGTGCTGATTGCTCGCATTGCTCACGTTGTGGAAGCTCGCAGCCAGCAAGCAGCACACGTTGTGGAAGCTCGCAGCCAGCAAGCAGCAGACCGGAAAGCCCCTGTGAAGAAGACAGCCAGACCAGCAGGCCGGGCGACTCAAGAAAGCCCTTAAAATTCTTTCACAAAGATGAATGCTGGCAGGCAGTCAGCATGGCCAGCCAGGAAGCAGCAGCAGCCACAGCCAGACAGGCTGATTCGAAACCTTCCTCCTCAACCTAAATCCTAAACCATAATTAAGAAATTAATTAATTACAAGGGTTTGGGGTTGTAATTAAAAGGGTTGCTTGAGAGGTTGGAAGGTGATTTCGGGCTCCGAGGCAGCCAGGCAGTGAGTGTGCAAGGCTTCAGGGAGTTCAGGGTTTCTTCGGAGGTTGGAAGGTGGGGTGGGGCTCAGAGGCAGCGAGGCAGTGAGTGCGCGAGGTTTCAGGGAGTTCAGGGCTTCTTCGGAGGTTGGAAGGTGGGGTGGGGCTCAGAGGCAGCGAGGCAGTGAGTGTGCAAGGTTTCAGGGAGTTCAGGGCTTGGAAGTTGGGAGTAAGTACTTAGTAATTAACTAATCAGTACTAGTAGTAGTAGTAATAGTAGTAGTAGTAGTAGTAGTAGTAGTAGTAGTAGTAGTAGTAGTAGTAGTAGTAGTAGTAGTAGTAGTAGTAGTAGTACTAGCAGTAGTCATTGGTAGTCGTCGTCGTAGTAGTAGTAGTCGTAGTAATTAGTTGTAGTAGTAGTAATTAGTGGTAATAGAACTGGTTTCGCATGCTGGCTGGATTGTGCCACATCGTAGTACAAGCTTAGTACTGGATGTGCCTCGCTTCGCATGCTGGCTGGATTGTGCCACATCGTAGTACAAGCTTAGTACTGGATGTGCCTCGCTTCGCATGCTGGCTGGATTGTGCCACATCGTAGTACAAGCTTAGTACTGGATGTGCCTCGCTTCGCATGCTGGCTGGATTGTGCCACATCGTAGTACAAGCTTAGTACTGGATGTGCCTCGCTTCGCATGCTGGCTGGATTGTGCCAAATCGTAGTACAAGCTTAGTACTGGATGTGCCTCGCTTCGCATGCTGGCTGGATTGTGCCAAATCGTAGTACAAGCTTAGTACTGGATGTGCCTCGCTTCGCATGCTGGCTGGATTGTGCCACATCGTAGTACAAGCTTAGTACTGGATGTGCCTCGCTTCGCATGCTGGCTGGATTGTGCCAAATCGTAGTACAAGCTTAGTACTGGATGTGCCTCGCTTCGCATGCTGGCTGGATTGTGCCAAATCGTAGTACAAGCTTAGTACTGGATGTGCCTCGCTTCGCATGCTGGCTGGATTGTGCCAAATCGTAGTACAAGCTTAGTACTGGATGTGCCTCGCTTCGCATGCTGGCTGGATTGTGCCAAATCGTAGTACAAGCTTAGTACTGGATGTGCCTCGCTTCGCATGCTGGCTGGATTGTGCCAAATCGTAGTACAAGCTTAGTACTGGATGTGCCTCGCTTCGCATGCTGGCTGGATTGTGCCACATCGTAGTACAAGCTTAGTACTGGATGTGCCTCGCTTCGCATGCTGGCTGGATTGTGCCAAATCGTAGTACAAGCTTAGTACTGGATGTGCCTCGCTTCGCATGCTGGCTGGATTGTGCCACATCGTAGTACAAGCTTAGTACTGGATGTGCCTCGCTTCGCATGCTGGCTGGATTGTGCCAAATCGTAGTACAAGCTTAGTACTGGATGTGCCTCGCTTCGCATGCTGGCTGGATTGTGCCAAATCGTAGTACAAGCTTAGTACTGGATGTGCCTCGCTTCGCATGCTGGCTGGATTGTGCCAAATCGTAGTACAAGCTTAGTACTGGATGTGCCTCGCTTCGCATGCTGGCTGGATTGTGCCAATCGTAGTACAAGCTTAGTACTGGATGTGCCTCGCTTCGCATGCTGGCTGGATTGTGCCAAATCGTAGTACAAGCTTAGTACTGGATGTGCCTCGCTTCGCATGCTGGCTGGATTGTGCCAAATCGTAGTACAAGCTTAGTACTGGATGTGCCTTGCTTCGCATGCTGGCTGGATTGTGCCAAATCGTAGCACAAGCTTAGTACTGGATGTGCCTCGCTTCGCATGCTGGCTGGATTGTGCCAAATCGTAGTACAAGCTTAGTACTGGATGTGCCTCGTTTCGCATGCTGGCTGGATTGTGCCACATCGTAGTACAAGCTTAGTACTGGATGTGCCTCGCTTCGCATGCTGGCTGGATTGTGCCAAATCGTAGTACAAGCTTAGCACTGGATGTGCCTTGCTTCGCATGCTGGCTGGATTGTGCCAAATCGACGTAATTAATTGAAAGCTTAGGCAAGCCAGCTGCTCGCAGCCATGAACAGCCAGACAGCGGCGATCCAGGCACACAGCCAGAAACTTCCAATCTTTTGCAAGACAGACAAACATCAGCCAGGCAGTGGCGGACCAGCTTGCCAGCCAGACAGCCATCCTGACAGACGTGCAGGCAGAACAAATCAAACCACCAAAGCCCAGCCGAATTTGAGCCCCTGGCCAGACAGAGCTGCACGCGATCGGGAAGGCCATCGTCTGTGCCGAGCAGCGGCAGGCGGACGGGGAATGGATTAACGAGATGCCCACTGTTTCCCTACCTGCTAATTAATTATCTAGCGAAACCACAGCCAGAGGGAACGAGCTTGGGATAATCAGCGGGGAAAGAAGACCCTGTTGAGCTTGGCTCTGTCTGACTTGGCAGGATGCGTGGATGTCGTTCTACAGCGACGTTTCACGCCACGTGAGCCAGGAAGACAGCCAGCTAGGCAGATGGCAGGTGCGCTGGGCAGCCCTGCGTGCTCGCTGCAGACAGGCAGGGCCACCCTTTAGCTGGGTGGCCCTGATCTGGGGCAGCTAGACAGACAGCCAGGCAAGGATCACTTTTGCTGCCTTAAGGCCTTAAACCCCTAAAACCCTAAACCCTAAAGACCCACTAAGACAAACAGGCAGCCGACGATCCTTTTCAGGCTTTTAGAGCCAGACAGCCAGTCAAGGTCGCTAATTACAACTTAAGGCCCTAAAACCCTGCACCCTAAACCCTAAACCCTGAGCCCTGGTTAGGGTTAGGCAGACAGACAGCACCAGACTGGCAGCCGATCTTCTTTTGCTGTCTGGCTGTATAACAGCGAGACAGGCTCGGACAGCCAGACTCGCAGCAGCCGAAAAAAGACAGAGAAACCACCCCAAACCCTCAATCTATAGACCCTAAACCTTCCCCCTAATTCAAATTAGGGTTTAAAGGGCGGTGCTACTTCCGGGTGGATCGGGGGAAAAGTGTTTTTATAATTAGGGGTCCCTTTAATAAAAGGGGGAAGGGATTATATATATATATATATATATATATATACATATGATTGGAACACGAAAGAGTGATTTACACACTTGGTCACTGGGCCATTTTGCAAAGCCAGGCTCTACGAATACTGAAGCTTTCAGCCCGAAGCATTAAACCGTGTGTTTGATTGTATGATGTAGATCTCATCAACGCTGAGAAGCTCACTGTTCAAGCTTTCAGGCTTTGGTGTGAAGGCTTAGGATTGAGGCTTTCGGGTTTTAGGGGTTGGGGTAAAACCTTCGTAGGGTTCAAATGCCCTATAAACAAATGGGCTTAGGGTTCTAGGCTTCGACGCTTTGGCGGTGCAAGCAGTGGGCTGTGTCACAGCAGTGCCGAACAACAGTCCCCTTGAAAACTGCCCATGGGGCTTAACGTGAATTTTCAGAATCGTTTGAGGGCAGTTTTCGTGGCCTTGGGATAGGTGGTATTTGCCTCAAGTGCTGGCCCTACAAGTCTTACAGTGTGTAATGAGGAAAACCACGAGCTCAGCGGTTATACCACGGCGGCTGCTTCTACGCCAAATTCGGAACTACGAAGAATGTTGCACGGGTTTTGCATCCACGTCAGATGTTGGAGTTAGGGGAGGCAAGTGAATGCCTTTGCAATTTGTACGCTTTGATGAAGAATTCGGAGCATGGGACGCAGGCGTACAAGAAGTCATATTATCTTTGTCGGTGAAGCTCCGTCAAGGCCCAAGGCTTTCCGTAGATGTTTGCAGGTGGCACGGCCATCGCTTTGCGGCCAGGATGTGATTCAGACCCCATGCGACATTGGGGCATGCGCTCTGTGGCTATACCGCAAACAAAGCACATAGACCCCACACCTCGAGTGAAACTCGCTAAATACAATGAACAGCCTGAACAAGCGTCAGTCCTGAAGCACGGGCTGTCAACAAAGCGGCACTGTATGTTGCTGCGACCTAGAACCTACGAGTGGCTGCCGAAGCACGTTCCCGCAGTACCTGTTCCATGCCGCTTTTCAACAGCCGACTTTGATACGCACACGACCATGTGGTTATGACTTACTGTAAGATTGGCGGCCGAAGCACGTTCCCATTGTGCCTGACAATTACCGGGACCCTCTGTCAGCACGTCAAAGCCTGTTCCATGCCCTGTTTCCTCCAAGTATGTAAAAATATGTTTGTCGGTTTGTGTGCACATGTGTCTCGAGCGTGAAGCTTAGCCGACTTTGCAGCCGAGCCGAGTAGATTCTGGGTGTTATGCAACGACGAAAGGGTCAGCTCTGAGAACCCCATGCAAGGCGACATAAATGCATCTTCGTTGGCAAGCCTATGGAAATCAGTTTCAACATTCATACGATACAGCTTTCGATCTTGGAGTTTTCGTACAAGCCGAGTGCGATGTGAAGGACTTCAAACCCTTGCTGTAAGACCTCAACTCTCCAAGCCCCAGGCCCTAGACTTGAACCTAAGCCTGGAACCCGTATATACCCTTTCCTATATTTCGCCGGTATAGTACCCCTTTACAGACACCGGGGTGTTGCCACGGAAGTGGTCACCTGAGACTAAGGAGCAGCCCACATGACCCAGAAGACGGGCTATACACCCTGGAACTCATCCCGAAGGCCAAGACTTCTCGGGCTCATAATGTTTCTCCTCGGAGGGTCATGGGTAGTTATTATTTGTACGAGGTTAGCAATCCGTCATATGGGTTGTAGTTATGGTCACCTTACTTATATAACCCCACCTATAACTACCCATGAACCTGCCTGTATTGGGCCCTGAGGCTTCGTGTACTTCTGCAGTATATACCTAGGCCTTCAAGTGCCTATATAGGAACACCTTCAAAGCCGAAGTATATACTATATAGGTACATGAAGCCTTGGGGGGTGTATAGGGTTTGGGGGTTTTGGGGTTTGGGGCGCTGTTGTCGAAACTTCGCAGAGGCAACCAAGGCCCAAAACTCAAAGTCAAAGCGCTGCTGTCACAAGCCCAGCCTTCGTAGCTCTAATCTCGTCCACTGGCATTTGGGTAATGGCTCGGGCCCCCCTGATCTTGGGGTTTAGGGGTTAGGGTCCGAACCTGGAGCAATTCGGCTGCGGAACCCGTAGCCCCCCAAACCACCCTCGTTGTAACCACGACCTGCCGGCTAAATCCCAACTTGCGCAACTCGAAACCCAAAAGTCCTACGCCCCACACTTGCAGACTTTCGTGAACTCCATAGGCTCCAAGCCTTAGGAGCCTGCAAAAGCCTGCAACTTAAGGAGCTAAGCACTATTAACGGAGGGCGTTTATTGGGTTCGTGCTGCTTGCGTTTATAGGTTCACGAATCAGTCTCTATTAGGGTTTTTGTAATATACTCTCGCGATCAGGGGCCTTCCGAAGTCGCTTCTTAAGCAGGCTAGCTGGGGTTTCAAGTCAATATGGCAATATATACATATATATATATATATATATAGCTATCCCTATGGTTCCCACGAACAAGAGGCTTTGGCAGATAGCTGCATGGCCAGTGCTCTTCATGAGCTGAAGGCCTTACGCTTCTTCGGAGGATTTTGTGGGTGTGATTTTGGTTTTGCAAGGGGGAGTTGTGCATCTATCGGGTGTCCGGTTAGAACAGCTGAGCATGTCATATTGAACTTGGGAATAGCGGACAACTTCAAAGCCTGACCTACCTTCTGTTGCGCTCTCAAAAACCATATACCATTGGGTGCCAGTGGAGTTCTTACAGTTCAGTGTTAGCACAGGCCTTTGTACAGGGATTACTAGAGAGCACATTTGTTAGAGATGCACTGGACGACAAGCGGCCTTACTCAAACCGATGGGGTTAGGGTCCAGGGTTCGGGAGTTTAGGATGGGTTTCGAGCATTCTCGGCTGAAGGCAAGTATAAACGGGATGCGCAGTCCATGAATTTGCTGAAGCGAGAACCAAGCCTCCAATTTCGGAAGCCCAAGCTCCCCAAAATCTTGACTCTCGAACTTTTAATGCCCCGAGCCCTTCAGTGCGTCAAGACCTAGACCCTGGACGACCCTTCAACCCTGCCTCTGGTGCGAGTTCATGGCAGCAGGCGTGCCCGCTGGTGCAATCACTCGTGCTTACCGGCCAGCCTGTTCCAGAATCGAGACCCGGTAAATCTATGGCGCGTGCTGTGAGTCGGGTGTAGGGCTTAGGGCTAGAAGCTTCCTCTTGGACTGGAGGCTCAAATCCCTGAGACAACAAACCCGGCAGCTTGGGTGCGACGAAAGGTCTGAGGCGAAACTCGTAAATAGAGCCACCAGAAGCTGGTACTCAAGCTACCGACTCTACCTATAGGCTCCATAGTAGTTCCTATTTGGGGTTCATATTGAGAATCCCATCAGGCAACCCCATAAAGGAACTAGTAGGAGCCCATGGCCAGACCCCATAATGCCCTTGGCCCCTTAGGTCAGGTCCGCAAGGACAGATAGATAGATGGATAGGCAGATGGATGAGATAGTTAGATGAGGGCAGATAGAGAGTAAGACAGACAGATAGATCAACAGATAGATGGACAGATAGATAGTTCGATCGAGATCGATAGGACAGTGTAGTTGGATTAGGTAGATAGAGACAGCGGGACAGAGAGTGAGACAGTTAGAGAGAGAGAGAGAGAGAGAGAGAGAGACAGTTAGAGCGAGAGAGAGAGAGAGAGAGAGAGAGAGAGAGCTATATATATATATAGAGAGAGAGAGAGAAAGACAATGTGTGCGTGTGCATAAACGGACTTGCCAAGTGGCAGAGGCAGGTACAATGTTAAATTACGTCACTTGCCTTGGCATTGAGTATACCATCATCGTCACTTGGTCATCTGCGGCGTCTTCCCTAAATCCTAAATCCTAAACCCTAAACCCCTAAACCCTAAACCCCTAAACCCCTTAACCCTAAACCCTCAAAACCCTACACAGCCAAGAGTCAGCGAGTTACCGTCACTAGTGCTGGAGCTTCGTGTTGGCAGTCGTCGTCGTCATCGTTGTGGTCGAGGTAGCAGTCGTAGTAGTTGTAGTAAGTAGTAGTAGTAGTAGTAGTAGTAGTAGTAGTAGTAGTAGTAGTAGTAGTAGTAGTAGTAGTAGTAGTAGTAGTAGTAGTAGTAGTAGTAGTAGTAGTAGTAGTAGTAGTAGTAGTAGTAGCAGCAGCAGCAGCAGCAGGAGTAGTAGTAGTAGTAGTAGTAGTAGTAGTAGTAGTAGTAGTAGTAGTAGGAGCGGCAGCAGCAGTAGTAGTTGCAGCAGCAATAGCAGTAGTACAAGCAAGACTAGCAGCCTAGCAGCACTTACCGTCGTAGTGTCAGTCCTCGTAAACGTGGAAGTGGTCGAAGCAGTCCGCAGAAGCAGTAGCTGCAGCTGGGAGCCCGCCGAAAGCCATGCGTGCTTCTCAGGATATCCGCGCCCAAAGTCGATCTCTCCGTCCCTCGGTTCAGGTTTAGGGTTAGGGGTTTGGGTTCAAGGCAGCAGAGATTGAAATTGTAAGGGTTTCGGGACTGAGGGTGTAGGGCATGCCGCGGAGATGGCAGACATTTGATACTGCTTCAGCTGTATCCAGTGCTGCAATCCTTTCACCTTAAACCTCTACAGTAGAAGCCAAAAAGTTGGAAACCCAATAGCCTCAATCCTTAAGAGAAATGTAAAGGCAATCCCAACACTAATTGTCCTTTATCAGGCTTCCAACTTGTTGGGGTCTACTATTCACCCCTCGACTTCTTTAAAGGATCATGGGACTTAGTAACTAGGGTTATAACTAGGGCAACTATGTATACTTATAACCCCAATTAAGGCACTTATAACCTTACCTACTAAGTCCCATGACCCTCCATTATAGAACCCTTATAGATCCCTTTAAAGATGCCTTAAAGGAGCCCTAGAGGTACCCTTAAAGGAACTACTAAGTTCCGTGATCCTCCAAGTTAGCTTCCTTAAACCGTGAAGTCCCGGAGTATCGGGCTGAAGAGGAAGATTCCCCCGACATGCGTTGACTTGTCAGCCTATATACTTAAACCAGACCACGAAACCTGATCCCCCGAGCATAGAATAGTATACATAGCATATAGAATAGAGTAGTATAACATGTCATCATACATATAGTGCAATTCCTACTCTTAGCCCGAAGACACTTTTTGGTTCGACATTTCGAATTCTGGGCCCGTTTCAGGGGTCTCAGCTCCTACGCCTTCAACCCGCAACTTTTCTCTGAGAGCCTTACGCCCTGTCATCTAGCTACAGTCGTGGGAGAAAGACTACATGTATTATTACCCTTAGGCTCCATAGTAGTTCCTTTTTGGAGATTTAGAATTTAATCCTATAAGGTAATCCCCTAAAGGAACTACTATGGAGCCTATATGTGTAGATTTATACCTACATGTGAGACATATGCATAGATTTGCGTGAACATCCATATGCGCTTATGCAATATTTATACACGTGCTTTAAATAGTTTCTTGTTTTGTAAACTATGTATTCTGGGGATCACGTTCAAAAGCGCACTGCCCCCTGTTTGATATGCAGTTGCTCCTTCCTTCAGAACATCAGGTTTCGGCCTAAACCAAATCCTCCCAACCGCGCGAATTGCCTCCGCACTTCTTGCTGCCAGGTGTGGGGCCTGAATGACTCGCAGCTGAGCGCGGTTACATTTGCCCTACAGAATCCCTTCGCGTGTCTAAGCGCAGAGTTGCAGTAGTTCGGAGTTGGTGTGGGGGGTTCGCGAACTTGCATGGATTGCAACCTTTGGGATTTGACTGCATGTGCTGTGTTTGTTCCTACATCTGTCTAATGTAGGAACCTGATTAAGCAACTCTGGGCCTGTAACCGATAACCGCAAAATAGTAGGATGCATATAAGGAGCCCTAATGCAGGCCCAAGCTTTCTTGATCAGGTTCCTACATTATCTGTCCATCTGTCTGTCTGTCCGTCTGGCCTCAGAGGGCACGTATGGTCGGAGATTTGTTTTCAGAACTTTATTGTGGGGTTTCTATGGTAAGGATCCTACTATTCAGGGTACAAAATTAGGGTTCCCTATGTCACGGTGACCAATACGTGAACGTGAGATGCGCATGGATCAATTCGCCACGAAAGGATGGGACGCATCCGATTCCGGCATGCACCTGTTTCACATGCAAACCTGGTGCATTCCTGTACCTCTAAACCATGAACCACTCGAAGGCCCGAGACGACGGCCGCACCTTCCAAGGTTGGTCCAAGGCCCGCCAGGAACGGGCAAAACCATGACCACAGCTGCTGCTTGGTCCACCTCATACCCTAAACCATAAACTTCGAGGCTTCATTTCAATTCAGTGGTTTCGAGCAGAGTCGCCCGCAGAGGCTGAGTTGGGCTTTGGCGCTTAAGGTAGTCGCATGCATGCGAGGAACCCCTAATCCCAACAGCTGAACCGGTGCCATCGACACGGTAGGAGCCACGAGTTGTAGAGGAAGCCAGCCGAGAAGAGGTCGTAGGTAGTAGGTGTCCTTAGCCCCAGAAGGTTCCAATAATGAGTTTATAGTTCTTATGACTATTATCATCATTATTACTGTTATTCTTATTGTTATTGATTACTATATTGCCATTTGTGCATTAGACTCTAATTAGACCTTCTATAACCATTACATTAATAACTATATGACCCTGACAGTAATTACTATATTACCATTGCAAGGTTATGTATCCCGCAATCCCTCCCGAGGCCAGAGCCCCGTATCAAGCGTGAGGAAGCCTACCACTTCGCGGGTTTGGAGGATTGAGGCTTCAGGGCCTCCTTTAACTTAAAAATGCAAAATCCATCAAAGGGACCCTAAACCCTAAAGCGTTTAAAGGGACCATAAAGCCTACTTGGAGGTTCATGGGTACTTGTAAGTGGGGTGATGAGCAGGGCAACCATAATTGTAACCCATATTAGGGGACTTTCAACCGCACTTATAACTATTCACGAACCTTCAAGTAGGGGTTAGGGTCCCTTTAAATTTTGCATTTTTTGGGCTAAGCAAAACAAGCTTTAGGCATCTAGGTTGCAAGGCCTTCAGAGCAGGAGCAACAAATTGTGAAGGACTGTGATAGGAGACAGGAGACCCAAAGGGTCCAAAGTACCTGTATTGTAGAATGTAGGGTTTCTATATTCGGAATTATTATTATGATTTAGGGAAGCATCCCCATAACAGTACCTAGGACCCTTGCGGAGAGGTTATTTACGACTTCGGCTTCGGGCAGCCATCACAACAGACGAGACGGGTGCAGCTAAGAGTTGTGTAGCAGAGCGAGCAGCCCTCTTTTCTATAGTCTCCATTGCCTTTTCTCTTTTGGTTTACCAAATGTGTATTCTAGAACCCTAACCATAAAACTGGTTAACCAAAACAGGGAACTTCAGTGGAGACTTTAGATAATCACGACAGAACTGAAACACCCCGAATTCCCAGAGTTGAACCAGCTTGTATGATAGGTCCTCAACATATTTACCAGAACCACTTTGGGGGTTCCTTATTATAGTTTTGGTGTACAGCGAACCCCAGAAAGTTGCAGCATGGGTTAAGGATGATAAGCACTGGGATTCCTGAGACTTTACCGGTCTGGCATGAGCATGATAATGGTCCAATTTTCTAGCTTATATAACATAGCCCAAAAACCTTGTCTAATTGTTTAGGCCCCGATATTAGCTGCAATTCCCAGTTTCAGGTCCTGGCAACCTGCTTCGCAAGACAGAACATGGCTTCAGGCGTGGGTAGGGACAGCCGTCGCAGCAATGACTCGGTGCTATGAATGCCGATCACTTTGACCCCGAATCCCTAAACGAATTTCGAAAGTCAGGTGTTATATGACGTCGTCAGAGTACGGGCCGAACAGATCGCATAATGTGTGTTTGGAGGTGTTTCTTCCTGTCCATCCAAACGAACTTGAAGTGTCTGACGACCATAGATACTTTACTTACGTGTTGTTTGTTCGCATACTGCTTCCGTATGGCCGCATTTGGGAAGCTAATGGGGGAAGACATCTTTGATTTCGGTGCCACGGTTATGTACAGCTTGCTACTGCTGCTACCATCGACTGCCATGAGCACACTTTGCCGCCATTTTTGAAGCAATGAACCTACAGCGTTGCTAGCTGCTTGCGCCGTCGAAAAGTATCAATACCGGAGCCTCTGATGCGTTCAGTGCAAATGCAGCAGATTGACCAAAGTTGATTGCAACTGAGGGGTCCTGTTTGTAGACTTTTACAAGGTTTCCTCTAGGGGTTCCTGCAACCGTTCCTTTCGGGGTTCCTGTAAGGGTTCTGACAAGGCAATTCACGTTTTGGGTCTATGGCTGGTGGAACGAAATCGTAAATTACTCTCGGCTCAGGTCTGCTGTGCATCCGAACCGTAAAAGTAACCGGTAAAAGCATTGATATGAGCTTGTAAGATCTACCAGCCGGTGTCCGGTACCTTGTCATCAAGATAAGTACTGTAGGGGCCTGAACAAACACCTGTACTATTTGGGGTTCCTTATCATAGTTATAGTATAATTGGCCCCAGAACCCTATTCTAATTATCAAGGCCCCCAAGATCCCCTATGAACCCTTTAAACGGAACCCTAAGAAGGGACCCTATTCTAATTTTTAAACCTCCTATATTAGGTCCTCGTTATTTGGGTGGTTCTTCCTGCTGGAGGCCGACCCTTTCGGCCTTAAACCTTAAACATTTGGCTCCGATGTGTATGTACATTTTCTATTATCATTATTATTCGGATTTTTGTTATTCTTAGTATATATATATATATATATATACTATCTATTATATGGATTGGCTCCGAGCCGCAAAAAAATACAGTTGAGTCCTTCAAAGCCATGGCCGGAGCAGGAGGAGGTCGTGAAAGGGAGTTTAACCGATTTCGCATGGTAAGGCTGCTTGAAGGTCCCCATGGGTAGTTATAAGGGTTCCTTTAAGGGTTCCTTTAGAGGGATCTATAGGGATTCCATAAGGGTATAGGGTTTAGGGTCTACTTGGAGGTTCATGGGTAGTTATAAATGGGGGTTATAAGTCCCCTAACGTGGGTTTTGAGTTTGGTTACCCTGATTATAACCCACTTATAACTACCCATGAACCTCTAAGTAGACCCTAAACCCTATACCATTATGGGATCCCTATAGATCCCTTTAATAGGGACCCTTAAAGGGAACCTGCAAGTGGGGTGGGGCTTAAGTCGGAGACTCACAACAGGACGCAGGAGTTTCAGGCGTGCAGGGGTTCAACGAGAGATAGGGCCTTGCGCCAATATGCACGTGTGGTAGTAGCTTCTCCGTATATACATATATATATATATATATGTACACACATAGGAACCGATCGTAGTAGAGTTCTCAGACAGCACAGAAAACTGGACCTCGTAAAACTCATATGTACGTGTAGACATGTGCAAAGCAGCAAGGGTTAAGTGTTTTAGCGGTTCTGGCTCCGACTTAAGTGTTTAGGGTTTCTGGTTCCGTTATTGGCCATGCTAAGGCAATTCAGGGAGCATAACTTAGGAGGCTTGCGCTCCGCTTCGAGTTGAACCCAAATTCTGCAACGAAGGCGGAAGACGTCAGCCCGAAAGTCCGGGTTGGCTGGGGTGGAAGGTCTGTTCCTCTTATGGACGCCTAGGGAGTTGACCGGAGGAGGGAGCCCGAGAGAATGATCGAAGCAGCAAGCCGCAAGGTCAGTGGAGGCCATCCTGCATCGAACTTGCGCGATCTAGCTGCGATCTTAATGTCATGGTACGTCCTGGCTTCTTTTCCTGACATTTCGAGCAACACAGGTATCTATGTGCCATGCATGCAGACGTTCCTATTGGCAGGAATCTAGGACGAAGGTTGTTCCAATTGTGGCGTTGGCTTGAGCACGATCACGTCGCGAGTTTCATCGTGGTCGGTGCATTACGCCATATAGGGCGCTCATTTGGTGTTTAACAATGCTCACTACTTGGAGGTTCATGGGTAGTTTTACGATACGGCTCTACAATTGCTTATATGCAAGAGTTGTCATGCAACGAATAGCCGCACAGCCTAGCGGCAGACAAGCCTAAACCCTAAACCCTAAACCCTAAACCCTAAACCCTAAACCCTAAACCCTAAACCCTATGTCAGCCCTTGAGACCCCAACCTCGGCCTGGAGGGGCCAACCGGGCCGTGCTGCTATGCACGCCAACGTGGCTTTGACCTGCGGTTTAGGGTTTAGGGTTTAGGGTTTAGGGTTTAGGGTTTAGGGTTTAGGGTTTAGGACTTGTGCATTGCAGTACCCGGTGTTGTTTTTCGCATGCTGCGTTTTGTGTTAATACTGGGCAAGCAGTAGCACCAGCGTTTGAAGTTGGAGTAGCTGGTTCTGTTCCCCCATGCGTGGGGTGCAACTTTCCGTACTTCGCACTCGTGCGTCCTTAGTTTCAAGCGGCTAACTGCTAAGATCAGACTTCACCGAAACGTAGCATCGTACAGTTTGGGCCGAATTAGGTACATCGACCAAACTAGGCATGATTTCGGGAAGTTCCAAAGTTCCAAATCGTGTAAGCATTGAATTTGGGGGGTGGTTTGGAGCTCATTCTTACAGCTTTTGCTTGCGATGGTTCCCATTTGTACAACATGCAAAGTTCTCGAAAGTTACGCGGTTCTAGCGTGGTTCCAAAGTAGCATCGTTACCTTCTACATGATCAGATGCTGAGAACGTTCGGCCGAGGACCAGTGAAGCAAGTAACTCACTGGGATCTTCCATTCGAAGATACTGACCTCGAAACTTCATCTAATAAGGAAACCATGTTTTGTACTATAGATCCCTATTATGATTATGGTAGCTTACATTAAACTCCCTATTGCAAGACCTGAACTTGAAACATCCGCAAACGGCAAGCGTCAAGACCTCGACCTCTCATCCTCGACCCCGACCATTCCCCGACTCTTTAGGCTTCGGTTTAGGGTTTAAGGGTTTAGGGAGGGCGATGGTACTGCACCTCGAAGCTATCAAACTGTTGTCGTCTTACGCATTCAGACCTGACTCAAAACGTTCGGGTTCCAGCAATAGGAATCGTGCTGCTGACTGCGCGGCGGCCTTCGTTGCACGCATATGCCAGAAGCAGTTCGGCTGCATATTTAGGATTGGCGGGTTTCTGGTGTCGTGTTTCCGTGGATGTCGTCTGCAATAGTTCATACCTTACTCGGGCTTATCCTGTTACTCAGGGCTCAGCAAGCGACCTAGCCGCGTGTGATCACGTTTGCAGCCATTCATGTATGCCGCGAAGCATATCCATCGAGGTCATCGTTCCGATATGTTTCATTGATTCGCTGGAGGGTTTATGTGGCCTAAGTTGGAGTGACAGCGAAGCTTAAGTAGGATTTAGGAGTCTAGTGTTTAGCGTGAGTTGAACCTACCCATAGGCCCCATAGTAGTTCCTTTCCTGTTTGGGGTTCATATTTAGAATCCTATAAGGTAATCCCCAAAAGGAACTACTATGGAGCCTGTGGGTCGCTTTTAGAACTTACACCCAAACCCGCGGCACTGTCTCAAAACCCTGGAACCACAGCCCCGAAGTCCGTTTTCCCCCTGTTGATTTGTGCGACTTGCATTGTACTCTTATAATTCAATATATGGGTGGTTGTCAAAATTATGGTCACTTTTCGGGTACCCTAAATACTAGGTGCCGTATTATATTAGGGACCCAAAAAGGGACCATACATAATTTTGACAACCACCCATATCTTCTACGGTGGCTGGGAATGAAGATCAAAGATCATTTCGTTCAGACGAGGCAGGCAGAGCTCCGGCTGCATGAGCGCAGCGAGGTCGAGGGAAACGTCTGCGCCCGGGGCCCGAGAGGTTCCAAGCTCCATGGCATATTATAGGAGTGGATACACTTTACACTTTGTGTGGATAATAGTACTCACTATAAAACTGAAAGTGTACACGTTTTGGTGCTTCTGAACTCAGCAACTGAGATGGAGCTAAAGGTTTAGGTCTCGGTAGCTGAGTACGCAACCTTTAACCTTTTAAAGGTTTATAACTCCAACCTTTTTTGGGCTAGGGTACTCAGCCCCTTACAGGTTGTCGGTCTACAGCAAAGCATTGAACTAAGCTGTGCAATCAATCAAAAGGGGAAAAGGAGGGACCCTTAATAAGGACCCCTAGGTATATACCCTTAATATAGCTATTATATACCCGCTATATAGCCCATTATAGGGTAGGGGTCCCCATTAAGGGTCCCTCCTTTCCCTTTTTGAATTAAGGCTAGAGGTTGCAGGCTTCGGGCTTCCGTTGTTCAAGCTGTACGGGCTTAAGGTTGTTGGGAGTCGGATGGGCTCAAGTACTTGGAGGTTCATGGGTAGTTAGAAGTAGGGTTATAAGTCCCGTAATATGGGTTATATGTATAGTTACCCTAACCATATAAGAACCCTAGATACTAAGTCCCATGATCCTTTAAGTAGGGGTGTGGGTTGAGGTTCAGAGGTTCCGGGCGAGGGTTCAGATGATGCTTGTGCTTGCGCTTGAAGGTGTGGATGTTCGCCCATCCTGGAGACCTGAGCCCCAAACAAGCTACCCTTTTTCCAGGACAGATACAAGGAAGTCAGAGGAAGAAAACCGAAAAGTCTAGGGTTTCTTAAGATCCAGGACGAAATTATACCCCAAACCCTGAACCTTAAACCCTAAACCCTAAACCGTTTAGGTTTAGGGTATAGGCCCTAAAATGCAAGGTCCCGAGACTTTCTTTTTTACTTACCATCGCTTAGTTCGGCCGTAGACCTGCGAAAAGCCAGACTCGATAATCACAGCAACCTGTAGAGTCGGTTTAGGGTTTAGGGTTTATGGTTTAGGGTTTAGGGTTTAGGGTTCTTTAGAGTATTACAGTGCTTCTTATTATGGCGCAGAAAGACTTGTTGCAAACCTCCTATGATGGCATTGTAACCCTGAAAGAATCCCTAAACCCTACATATTATGCCTTACATCTTAAACCCGATATACCCTAAACCCTTTAAGACCCATCGAAAAACAAATATATACAAACATACATATTTATATATATATATATATATATATATATATATATATGTATATATACATATGTACATATATATATATATATATATACATATATATATATATATACATATATATATATATATACATATATATATATATATAGATACAGATAGTTTTTTAATCCCAAGACCCCGTCGCCTCGGTGCTCTGGAGGCCATCTGCCTCTGCTCCAAGCCGGACATGATCACTCTTTGCAGCCATGCCTTCCACAGACAATGCCTGCTCCAGGACCTTAGGGTTTAGGGGAGAGGGGAGGTTTAGGGTTTAGGGGGGGTTTAGGGTTTAGGGTTGGTTTAGGGTTTAGGGTTTAGGGGAGGTTTAGGGTTTAGGGTTTAGGGGAGGTTTAGGGTTTAGGGGAGGTTTAGGGTTTAGGGGGGTTTAGGGTTTAGGGGGGTTTAGGTTCAGGGACCCTGAACCTTAGAGGCATAGGGACGAGTAAGGGTTAGGGTCTTCACCTAGCGACAAGCAGGGCCAGACTGAGAGCTAGGCTCCGGTAGGGGAGGTCAAGGGCCTTTTGCTGATTTGGGGATTCAAAATTCTATGGTTTTCAGGGTTATGCTCAAAAATTAAGGGGTCATAGCCGTAACCCCTAAACCCTACACCCTAAACCGTAGTCATAATCTACTGTTCTGTGGGGTTTGGGGCTACGGGTGAAGTTCGGGCACTGGCTGCTCGATTTGGGGCTCCTGGGTTCGGGGTTTCTTTAGAGGTCACTTGTACATTTCCCTGTAGAGGTTGAGGGTTTAGGGTTTAGGGTAGTAGCTCCATATCCTTAACAACTTCTCACACATTGATGCCGCTATCACAACTTGGGTTTCGTGGCCCTTTGCTGTGTACTGCTTGCAGTGTTCGGGTTAATTACGCGTCACGGGAGCTGGAGTTGGAGACAACAGCCTGGATGGGCAAAATGCAGGGCCAGGTCCAGGAAATGCATTCACAAGGTAGCTTCGATTCCTTCCACCTTTAAAGTAATTGCTTGGAACACCTCCGGAACCTGGATTCATCAATGAGTCAGAGAAGCGAACGCCCCTTCATGTAGCAATGCGGTGACTCGAAAGTGCAGCATAGCTTAAGTCATATTAGGGCCGGCTCCCGTCCATAAACTATATACAGGCTGAATCATGTTCATGGTTTTTGGAAGACTAATTATAATCATAGGGACCCTTAGGGGTGGAGGGGTAGTGGGGGGTAGTACGGGGTCTTAATTCCTATGTATAATCAGGACCTAATAAGGCTCATTTCAGGAAGTATAGCCCCCTACCCCCCTCCCCCTTACCCCCCTAAGGATCCCTATGGTATAATGCCCCATAACTGGAAAGGATGTCTCTTCTTTATGGATCCAGTCATGTTGTGCTGCCAGGCGCTGGACGTGGGAAGCTTCTGCCCGGTCTGCCGACAGCAGGTGAAGCACGTGGACACAGGATTCCCGAAGCAAAGAAGCCACAGAACCCTGTTCTACCAAAACGTACTCAACAAGCCAGTGCACCGAGCATGCAACAGCATTCGCTTAACACAATGTGCCGATACACTAGAAAGCCCAAGTGTCACTGGCATCCCCCTGAAGCTACAAACCCTGAAAGTGAAATCCTAAGTCCTTAAACCAACCAGATTTTAATGGAGTCCTTATGGCCCTGAATTGTGGGCATTTGGTGCATGTTAGAGGGTAGTTGGGGGGGGGGGGGGGGTCTAGGAAAAACCTTACCGGACTGAGGCAAGCCTTTGAGCCCAAAGCTGTCGAAGGCGAGACTCCAAAGGCACAAAACCTCATCGGGTGTGGGACTCAAGGTACTAGAGAGGCCTCAACAATTACCCATACTATTTTTGGGGCTCCTTATTATCATTATAGCATATTGGGCCCCCCAAGTCCTATTGTAATTATTAAGGCCCCTGTAATAATGGATCTTTCCGTACATCAGGATAACACGAAAGGAATCCCACCATTCTCGGGCTCTCAAAGAAATAAAGCTTTTGGTTGATCGGGTGTTTACACCAAGCACATAAAATCACATAGAGCGGGAACGCGAATAGAGGTCAGGACTTTCTTAAGACCTTACTTAAAGGATCATGGGACTTAGTAACTAGGGTGATATTTAGGGTAAGTATACTTATAACCCCAAGTAGGGTACTTATAACCTTACTTACTAAGTCCCATGATCCGCCAAGTAGACAGCTGCAACCTCCGGTCGGTTGTTGCGCAGATTGGCAAGATGTTGCCTGTTCGATGCTTCTTAGAGTAAGAAGAGAGCCGACGCTTCATGTCGGTGCAGGACTGCGGATCCTGCGCATCTACGGGGCAGACATCGAGAAACAGGACTGCTTCAGCCACACAGGTTTGATTTGTTCTAAGCCCAACCCATAGATCGTAAGCCCGAACTAAGCTTCCAACATGCCTACGCCTTGAACCCCCGCGCCGAATGCTGGAAGACCTTATGAGCTCCAAATCTTTCCCTGCAACCCCTTACCAAGCCTGCTGAGTCCCGATGCCTCGCATCTTGGCAAGTTTTTGTGTTCTTCTAAAGATTTCTCGTTGAAACCCCAACCAAAACCCCCAGGCTCTAAAAGTTTATGAGCCCAAAACCTTTAGCCGCTCCATTATTACAAATCACCCGTGTAAAGTCCTCAGGAAAAATACAGGAGCACTTTCCTTATGCCTTTAAAACCCTAAACCAGTGCCCTTACTTTGAAAGTAGATCCCGGCCACGAGGAGTTTCCTGTCCCGAAGCGCGACTTGGCAAACATCGTGCGAGCATGCCAGTGTACCAGGTATCGATTTTGGATAATCTGCGATGTTCCTTATTGTGTAATATTGAGCACAGGTAGAAGCAATGTTGGGGACTGTAGAAGCCGACACCTAGTATGAAGCAAAAACTTTAGGTCTTGGGTAAGCGCATGCTCTTCTATTGCGGGTTTTACAGGTTCTTCATGCGGTTTTGCAGGGCTCTATCCAGGGCTTTTCATGGGGTTTCCAGAAACTGTAGCCAAATCCACAAATAGTCAGTATACAGCTATGTACCCCCTTTTTTCGGGTTCTTGAGAAGGGTCGGGGGAAGTTCATGCTCTAGAGAACTCCAAACATTGGACAAAGCATTCTCAAAGCCTCCAACCTGGGTTCATCCGAAACTACAACAAATGGGAGTTTCCGAAAATAGGACCCCGAAATAGTAGGATCCCTATTATAAGGACCCCCAAATAAGGTACCCCTAATTCTCGGAAACTCCTAGATGCTAGATCCTAAACCCTGGAACAAAGCAACAAAGTCACAATAGTCTGAAAGAGATCGGGGGGGTTGCGGTCACTGGGTTCTGGGTTGTTGATCGCCGTCTACGGTTTCCTCTTTGATTGAGAACGATATCCCATCGTATCCCCCAGGATGGGTCAGTCGTTTCCATGGCTTTCTGTGGAAGTACGCAGCATGTTTCTCGATGGGGCTCTCATGCCACAGAAAGCCTACATTCTTCCAGTTCGGAGAAAACAAACCCAAATCCGAAAACCCTGAATCCTAAATGCTAACACCCCGTCAACCCAACTTAAAACAAATGCAAACACCCCAGACCTAGTTCAAAATTCAAGTTCCAACGTACCTGAAATCTTAGCTCCAAGCCCAAGCTGTTGACCCATGCAGCCGATTGCTTAGGGGTACCTTAAAGGCATCTATAAGGGTTCCTTAATGGGATCTATAAGGGTTCCTTCATTAAGGGTCCTTAAAGGGATCTATAGGGTTTAGCGTCTAGAATATGGGAGTTTCCGAAAATTAGGGGTACCTTATTTTGGAGTCCTTGTAATAAGGATCCTCTATTTAGGGTACTATATTAGGGTCCCCCCCTTTTTCGGAAACCCCCAAATACCCCGTAGCCTAAATCATAAAGAGGCAGACCTTCGATCGAAACCTGGAATCCTTAACCCCTTATAAACCCTGAAACCCTAAACCTAAACCCTATAGACCCTAGGAAACCCGAAACCCTAAAAAAAAAAACTAAACTCTGAAACCCTAAACCCTAGGAAACCCGAAACAACTCGAGCTTTCCACAGGGAACGAGCACATTGGCATTGATAACCGGAAGCCGGTGCAGGTACCTGAGGCTGGGCATTGGGGTTTAGGGTTTTAGGGTTTAGGTTTTTAGGGTCTTAGGGTTTAGGGTTGTAGGGTTGTAGGGTGTAGGGTTTAGAGTTTAGAGTGGGCATAGACGGGATGTAGGTTCGTTTTGGCTATGCAGTTTTGGGGTTTAGGGTTTGGGTGTCCCTACGGCACGCCTAGCACGGTTTCGGCAAGGTCTTGATGCGGGTGGATGCCTGAGCACCAAGCTCTTGCAGACTAGGGCTAGCTAGGTGTTGGATGGTCATTCTGGACTAATTGAGGCAATGTTTTGTGCTCTGAAACTTGCGACTACAGGCACGCAGAAGTAGTGTTCTGCGTGTTTTGTGTTTACATAAGATGTACATACACATGTACTTTTGTGCACACATGCAATATCAAGATAAGACTAGAGAATAGAGCTCTTAGGTATAAAGATAGTTACAATTACAATGCTACAGCAAGTGCGAGATGTACATATATATATATGTATACATATATATATATATATACATATGTATACCGGGATAAGAATGCCATCGATAACGCTGTAGAGCCGTGCGGTATGCACAGCATGAGCGAATAGGTTACAGGCATGTGATTATTAAGTTTGGTAGTAACAAGCACCCTCACAACAAGCACATGCATTGGAAACGCACTGTTGCATGTATAGGTTTCTATATACATATAAACAGATAGTTTCGTAGATGTTGGGAAGTATGATCGTTGTTATATGTGTGTTTCATGGGCTGTTCATATTTGCGTTTACAGTTGTTTATGTCTCCGTATATGTGCTATGCAGAAGTGGCATACCTGCAAGGCCACCGGATGCATTTAACAACACCCAAGACAGCTAAAGGCCGGTACGGTCGAAGTTTAAGTTGTTCAGCGCGATGGCTTGGCTGTCTTCCTTACAAGCTTGTCTAATTCTTGTCGGCTCTAGCAAGTGGTTCCCACTCGAGGTGGTGGTTCCTTACTTTGGTCGGCCATGTGAAACATATCTGACGACATGCTCTCGAGCTGCAGACACGAACAAATGCACCGCACCCAAGTGTACCCATAGTCTGCATCGTAGTTCTTTTGTGGTTGAAAAGTTTTTGTATCATGGGATCCTAGAACGTAAGGTTGGTCAGCCGAAATGTGGAAGTACAATAGCGATTATGAGCAGTAGAGGTCAACAGGGGATCGTTATGTTGCCAGAATGCTATTGGGTCCTTTCCAACTTCGGTTCCCCGTTCTGGTGTCGACGGCGTGTTCCGACTTGGCATTGTGCTGACATCCGTCTGGATCGACAACTATTGCGACGAGTTTGGAAACCAGGTGTGCCCTGCGAGTTTGCGACTTTGCGCTATGAGTGCGATAAGATTTAATACAACCTTGCTTTGGCAACCTTGCGGTGGGCGCTTCTTAGTCTGCTTGTGGTGGCGTGCTTCATAAGTCCCCCACCCCCACCCCCACCCCCATGAATTCAACGATGCGCGTCAAGCAGAATGGCAGTCTCTCCACAGCATTTTGCTCTCAGGGCAGTCTCGATAGGTTCTGCCATGTGCAGGACATGGCGTGCCGAAGCTTCGGCCTTTGGATGCCTGGTCATCTCAGCCATCCTCGTGATCGCGGCAATCCCCGTCCTTCAGAAAGTAGAGCTGGACTGCATCGACAGAAACTGCTCTTCCGTGTGTTTCGAGTCGAACTACACAGGCGTGGTTGAATGTCAGAACGAGTTCGACTGGGACACGTGCCGCAACTCGCCCAAGATGTATGTGTGCTTCGAGTTGTGGCAGGAGGGACTCCAAGTTAAGAAGCAGTGCGAATCAAACCAATGCTTCCTTGGGGACGTGGACACCGCACAGATTACCTATCGAGCGAGCCAGCTGGCACTGTTACTGTCTTTCTTGGCCGCTGCCAGCTGCTCATGTTTTAAGAAAGGGGCATGCAACTGTCGTGGCGCACAAGTCTACACCAGGCAGGCACTGTTGGCGGTGGGGAACTGCTGCCTGGTTCCAAGCATGCTGCTGGTCCTCTTGTACTTCGTGCTGCCGAAAAGCTTCTTCTATCCTCCCAGTTATGCTTTTGTCGGGGTTCCCATCGAGTTGTTCGTGACCGTGCCTCTTGTCTGAGCTTTGGCAGCCCCAAGCCCTTGCTTCAACCCGCCCAAACAACACCCACAAGCAGCACTAGTGATATCCATTCTGGGAAGGACCACCAAATGAAGCCTTCCGACACCAAAACCCAAAACCTACGCGGACAAACACTTCAGGCTGCAAGCTCCGAAATGCTGCGAACTCACAGGTTTGATCTCAAGGTTGATGGATGTTCTTGCAGAAAGTACCTAGACCCTCGACTACCCTCCGATATACCCAAATCGACAACTAAGGGCCACAAGGACTCAATTAAAGGGTATCGGTCTTTAAAATTCGGTGTTTACGGAACTTGGCGCCTCATGTTTGGGATCTTTGACTGCGAGGTTCTGGGGCGCAGACCAGTTGAGAGCCTAAGGCTCCATGTGCCCACATGGTCTATAGACTTTGGCCCCAAAGTACCTGTATAGGAGCCCCTTCAAGCTCTGAGTGTATACTATACGGGAGTTCTCGAAAATAGGGGACCCTAATATAGTACCCTACATAGTTGGACTCTTATAAGGACCCCAGAGTAAGGTACCCCTAATTTTCGGAAACTCCCTTTTGGGTACATGGAGCCCCAGGGGGTGTCAGTCAGGTTTTCGCTCGTGACCTTGGCGGCCTGCGCTTGCCTGGGCCTGGCGCGCATGCAGAGCACACGCTGGCTGAGCGCCAAGCCAGAAGACGAGGCGTCAGAGGCCACGTTCATCAGGGACCCCAAAAGCACATAAGCTTAAGCATTTTATAGGGATATCCTTCGCCCTACTTCAACAGTTTTGAGTATCGGGTTCAAGGTTACGGGTTGGGGTCGCAGGTAGTTACTAAAGGGTCAGTTTCTTTTTGGGTGGGGTGCACGTTCAACGCCAAAGGCCAGGTCTTACCAGTAGCGGGACGTTTTTTTGGCCTGCCGTAACACCATAGAATCCTTAGGGAAACCTTTGGCAAGACTTCGTTCCCTGACAAGATTAGGGTTTCGGGTACAGAAACTAGTGGTTCGCTCACAGCAGATACCGAAAATAAACACACGAAAAGGCAATATTGCAGCAGTCTCTACACTCTAGATGGCTTTTCCGAATCGAAACGGGATGTGCTAAAACAATCGGATGCCCAGCACAACCAATGTAGAATCTTTATATACCTATATATATATAAATAAATATATATATATATATATATATATATGTAACGTGTATATATATATATATATATATATATATACCCTGAGAACAAAGAGCCATAACAGCAGGGAGCTTCCAGACTTGCCCGAAGAAGTGCAGAGCATCCAAGGGTAAAAGGAGGGACCCTTAATAAGGATACCCTTAATATAGCTACTATATACCCATTATATAGCCCATTATAGGGTAGGGGTCCCCGTTAAGGGTCCCTCCTTTTCCCCTTTGAGAGCAGAACACGCGCAGGTGGAAGAGGTGCCAGTCTCAGTTCAAGCTTCGCAACCGGTCGTGGAAATTTGAGAGATTCCTGAGATGCATGCGAGCTTGACCATCGAGAATTAGGACGTTTGAGCAAGTCACTTAGTTGGCTAGGACTTTGGACTATGGTTTGGTTTCGGGTTTTGGATTTTCGGTATAAGCTTCGCTCAATCGTCATTGCCTTGCCAAGTGTACAGATCGAAAGCGATTTGGAAGCATCCACCTGCAAACGCAGGATCCAGATTGTGCACATTCGAGCCGCTTCCGGTGCACTACAGACGTTCCGGCCTTCAGCACACTTAAAAGTTGTGTGCGAAGGCATCGGAACGTAACGTTATTCCATCCACGGACGTAGACACTTTGAGAGAGAAACCTTTACAAAAAAGCGCGTAGCACCTTTTCTGTGACCTTATTGCAGTCCTGTGCGGGCATGACTTGCGAATGCAGCAATCCGATGCAACCCGCGATCGAAGCAATTTGCATTTCCGACTCAAGCCTGTAACTAGCGGAAGAACGATACGATATGGGAAGCCAAGAACAACATGTTTTGACAATGAAGCTCCTGCACTTGACACAATAATTCAATGTCATGCCAGGTCGATTCCAGCGAGTACCTGTACATTGCCTCGGGGTTTTGGCTGGCTTGTAGAGGTAAAATCCAACGGTCGTGTTACTACGCAACAAGGGTTATTGGGGTACCGTAAGGGTTACCAGTTGCCAGGATACCCTAAGGCTACGACACCAGTCGGCATAATGTCATGTAGCCGGGAAGATGTGTATGCGGACTTGCGGACCTGCAGACTAACAGCCCTGTACATGAGTCGTTTGCTTTTGAGCCAGCCCTTCACAATTACACTGCGGTAGCATTCCAGAACGCCAGCCGCATTATGTGTCACCTGGAAATCATAAAGTCTGGGGTCTGGCGCGTAGGTGAATAAGCTGCTTCCAGCATGAGTCAGGTGGGTACAGCAAGCTAACACATATTGTGCATACCCGAGAAGCCCCAAATACCTAACCACCCACCCCAAAGCCTCGTTTCATTCTCTAAGGTTAGCATATGGAATGTATACGGCTTGAACTGCATCCAAGGGCCCCCAAACCCTAAACCCTAAAACCCTGAAGCCCTAAACCCAAACCCCCAAACCCCATGACCCCATATTTGTACAGCCCGTCGCGTCGCAACTGCTGGGCAGGACATGCGGCGATTTGCGTTGCACTGGCGCTGCCATGCCGCGGTCGAAGGGGAGCGACCTTGGCCGAGCTTGGTTTATTCTGTCTGGTTCTTGGTAGGGAACAGGGTTCTTTTAAGGGCTCCTTTAAAGGATCTTATAATGGCTCTACAAGGGGTCTTAGGGTATCCATAGTCCCTGTCTGATCCTTAGTAGGGAATGGAGGAATGGGTTGTGAGGACTAGTATTGGGGATTATAAAGGGGCTACTATAGGGGTCCATGCCCCCATTCCCCACTAAGCACCAGTATTGTACGAGCATGCTTCCAACAAATAAAGTGGTTGCCACTTGGGCGTTTTTTATGGATCCTGATTGGATTGCCGGGTTCTTACGTTATCTATGAAGACTTGGCATTTAGGGGAGGGGTTTCGGCTTGAGGGTTCGAGAGGTGCTGTCAAGGCTATCTCAGGCTTCGGGGTAACAAGAACGTAAGCCCAAAGAACTTAGGCACAGGGCTTGTGCTAAGGCTCCGATTTCGAAAATTCTAAGCTGCTCAATATGTATATACCCCAGTAACCCATTTTTTGAGGAATCGGGGCCCTACGCCTTGAACATCTCCGATCTTTCGGCCGACATGTGTCATTCCAAGGGTAAAAGGAGGGACCATTAATACGGACCCCCCTTAATATAGCTATTATATACCCATTATAGCCCATTATAGGGTAGGGGTCCCCATTAAGGGTCCCTCCTTTTCCCCTAAATCCCCTAAACCCCCAAACCCCTAAACACTAAACCTTATACCCGTATAGAATCCCTATAGATCCCTTTCAAGGGACCCCATTAAGGGTCCCTCGTTTTCCCCTTTGAGTCATAGAGCCAGTTCACTGCGACCCCGAACCCTTAAATTAAGGCTTAAGTATATACCATATATATATATACATATGTATATATATAGATATATATATATATATATATATATGGGTACATGGAGCCTTAGGGGAAGTAGGGAGGCCACAGTACACAAGATTCAGGATTACGGGCTGCCCGAAACCTTACTTGATGCTCTTCGGGCCCGGGGATCCAGAAGGCGGTTTCGGCATGAGATATCTGGTGTTTAGTGGATGTAGAGAAAGGGGCGCGTTCGAAATGTTCGAAAGATATCTGGTGTTCAGGGATGTAGAGAAAGGGGCGTGTTCGAATTTTTCGAATACTTGTAGGTGGGGTGAAACTGTGACTGTGGCTACGACTTACTTACCAAGTTTCCGGATAACTCAGTCGAGACCGCGAACTCCGCACCCAACCCGGCAGCATCCATGGAGTTTGTGCCGCAAACCTGGGTTTAGGCTTCAGAGTGGCGACTTTGCGCTATGGGTCGAGACTCATTATGCAACGAAGCAATCCTATCGAACCTGTCGATTCCAAGATTTCTATACTTTTTCCGTCGTCCAGTGATACAAAGGTCTCAGTATGTAGCATCCTTCAAAAACTTGACCCCGACTCCCACACCCCCAAGCTCTCAATCTGCGGCCTTACTACACCCAGGTTCTCCAGTAGTACCCATTTGCCTTTTTTTTCTGTTGGAGTCTCCTTACGAAACCCGAATGCTAGGAACATGGGTACCCATTGCTACCACAATTACTATTTTTGTTGTCTTTTGATATTATAGTTATTGTTGTCGTATTGTTGCAGTTGCAGATCTTTCATGTTTGATATTATTGTTGCTGTGAGGCTACTCGGGAACCTAGACACTCTAAGCCCCAAGCGTGAAGTCCTAAAGCCCTACACCTAAGAACGTGTACGTCCTAAAACTGTAGCAGGGTTTGGGGTGTAGGGTTTCTTTAGGTTTTAGGGTAAGGGCTCACGGCTTAGGGTTTGGGGCTTTAGGGTTTAGATGTTCAGAGTTTCAGGTTTAGGGGGTTTGAGGTTTGGGGTATCGCTCTTTCGCCAGGCCAGCGTCAGCCGCTGCCGAGCGAACACGTCGAGCGTGTCTCGTCCAAGAGATGCACTGCGGGCCTCTTGCGGATGGTTCCCTAAATTAGGGTCCCTTTCAGGTTCCTTTTTTCTATTTTTTTTGGGGGGGGGACTTAAAGTATGACCCCAGTTTAGATAAGTAAGTACCCATGTGTTCTTCAAAACGAGATGTTTGTTTAACTCAGTGGCAGTGTGAGTCCTGTCGTTTACCTGTAGGGATTTCTACGTAGGTTTCTGTTTGGGGTCTGTAGGCAGGGTGTGTCATGCGCTTTCCTACTTTCAACATGGTTTCGTTCAGATTTCCTAACCCTACCCACTACCCATAGGCTCTGCAGTAGTTCCTTTGTGGGGTTCATATATAGAATCCTGGAAGGTAATCCCGAAGAGGAACTACTATGGAGCCTATGGGTAAACCTTCTATCCTAAGCAATCACTTGCGGAACACATCATTACACTCGGGCCGCTCAACATTTGAATCCATTGACTTCGTCTTTAACAGGTTACAGTAAACCCCAGAAAGTTGGAACACGGATTTAGGATGATTGGTGCTGGGGTTCCTTAAACTTGGCCTCGAGGACAAGACGACGTTCATGTTCCAACTTTCGGGCTTCTACTTTAGTGGCTCGCTCTTGAATCCCAGTTCTGTCTTAGCCCCGAAACTGCACGCCGTTGAACTGTCAGGTACAGCGCCATGATGAAGCACGGTACTGGAGGCCGGGTCGCCGCATTCACTTTCGGGAGGCGTGAAAGTTTGGCAACAGTTGAATGCCCGCAGGTTCCGATGTATGGGGTTAAAGGGTTTAGGCTTGAGTGCTTCGGGGTTTGGGATTTGAGGTACGGTAAAGCGTTGAAAGCGATTATGTTGGATTTGGACTTTCGGTTGGCTCTATGTCACTCGGCTGGACAGGAACCTTGGTTTTTCAGATGCGTGTCAAACTTCAGTTTGAATTCTGCAAGACATCGACGCATGTCTCGCACAGATGTCGACCCCTTACTTGCAAGAGCCATAGTAGTTCCTTTCAGGGGGGGGGTCCATATTTCGAATCCTATAGGGTAATCCCAAAAAGGGAACTACTATGGAGCCCATGGGTACTACGGCCCCTATACTATACTAGAGACCCTTGCTGTAGACTCCTTATAGAATCCTATAGGGTATCCAAGGTAATCCCAAAAAGGAACTACCAAGGGTCCCTATGAGCACCAAGTCAAACCCCTAAAACCCTAAACCCCTAAACCCCTAAGCCCCTAAACCCCCTAACCCTAAACGCTACCCTACTATGGGGCCTATGGGTACATGCACGTGAAGTCTTGGCGGCCCTAGCACAGCCTCCGCCCAAAACCCTAGAATCTCAAAACTTGAACTGACAAGGTCCCTGTCATTTGTCAACAGACAGATAGTATAGGGCATTTCTGGGGGCCTTAGTAATTAGAATAGGGTGTGAAGGTATATTAGATTAAGGAGCCCTCAAAGTAGCATAGTTCATGAATAAGGCCCCTATATTAGATAGTGACAGCAAGAGATAAAGCCTAAACCCGCGATGAAATGCCTCGGGGGGTGCGAACAGCATCGTCATAAGCTTTTTTCTTGACCTCTTTCAATATAACCGATAATGTAGGAACTTGATCAAGAAACCTACTATTTTGGGGTTATCGGCCCAGGGGTTCTTCTGTCGATCTGTCGTTCTATCTATCTATCTATGTATCTATCTATCCATCTATCGACCTGTGTATCTACACAGTATGTGTATGTACGTAATTTGCATGCGTGGATGTATGTAGGTGTTGATGTAAGTAGGTTTTGTGTTCGTTCATGTATTAAAGTGGGTTATGCAACATATGGGAGTTTCCGAAAATGAGGGACCCTGATATAGTATCCTCAATAGTAGGGTCCTTATCATAGCG